ATCTATTCAATTCTATGCTCCATAGTCTAATTACCTAACAAAGATAAACTTTGTTCTTTTTGGAGCAGGCTTCCCTGAGGGCCTGGATTTCAAGTCCATAAAGTCAGGACAGTTCTACAGAAATCAGACATGCTTTGGGGGGACAGTACCCTGAACTTGGAGTCACTGTCTTGAAACTGAAGCCAGTAAGGGAAGCTGCTTCAGCTGGCCCCAAACACAGTTCTTTAATGTCTGTAGGGTAGAACAAAGGACCAATGGGGCCACATCTCACCCTGTTTATGCTGAGCATGCACAGAGGCCTGAGCAGAAGCTGATTGCTGCCAGGGCACTGCTCCATTCCTCAGTTGTCTTAGAAGAGGGGCTTCTGTATGCATCTTCCAGTTAATGGCAGATATTGCCACTTGCAAGGGAAAAATAATTTGTAGTCTCTCAAGCAAAAAGTAGTGAAGTACCATTATTTCACTGATTACTTACATTCAGATACAATTACAACTTAGTTAAAGCAGAAAAGGCCCAGAATAGTCCTGATGACCTCAGTCTGAACAGACATAAGACCATAAACATCCAGGCAAACAAATAACCTTTGAGTTCCATTAGTCACAGAAAATTAAGATGGTGAAATGCTCAAGCACTTCAGAATCAGACATTTTGCTTGTAGTTATTGCTAAATATGGCATAAAGAGTGGGTCTGAAGGAGTGATCTCAATATTAAGTCCATTTTTCATTCCTAAAACAGTGGAAGTCTTAATGGCAAACCCATTAAAATTATTTTCGTGACACACAGTGAATATTTTGAATATACCAAGTCAAGGTTTCAGTTAAATATGTTCATAGTATGTCAAGCTTAGCAATTTATTGGAGAATCTTTACCTAATTTGATATAATTGATGTTAAAGCCTTTTTCCATAATACACTGTTTGTGCATTCCTTTTAAATGTGGATAAGAAGAAATGGATTTGTAGAAGATATTTTTAATTGATTCCAAAGGGAATAGCTACCGTGGAATCTGCTGATGAGTTCTGTGGGGGTCTAGGCTCCAATCATTCAGCATCTATGTTTTTAATGACAAGACGCTACAGTGTTTAAAGAATGAATTTGAATTATGAACACAGATAATTAATGTCTGCTCTCTCCTAACATTTTATCAATAACCACCAAGCCTCTAGTTAAGGCAAGGACCTCTGTGTTGGCTTAGAGACTCAAATTGCATAAAAACCCAATGGCAGTAAAGCTTCATTCAAGGTCTTTGAAAGCTTCAGTCAGACACTGCACATTAAATTCTTGATTTTCAGTTACAGAGGAAAGATATCAGCACATCATAAAGAAAATACTGCATATTTTGCCACCACTGGTTGATTTTGGCATTTTTTCTTCCTCAGTTTTCACATAGGTTGATATCCATTCAAACCTAAATTGTGTTAATCCTTTGGCTACCTCCTTTAGTCATCCTCTGTGTGAAGAATCTCACTGACTGCAGGAGAACAAGTTGTACGACTGAAGGGTGCTCAGAATTAATGACCAGGCTTGTGGTTTCTAGTGTGATGTAAGATCACACTTTGGGTAATAAGAAGCAAAACTCTTGGGATGCTGTTGGTATTGATTCACTGTGTAACAACTGGACAAGATATTTAGCAATATAACTTTAAAACCAAAACCACAATGTTGTTATGCATCACATAGCTGCAGCTTGATTTAGAGAATGCTCCATATTACATTTGGAGTCATGTATCCAAACTGTAGGCATTTTGCTAGGATGTGAATTTGTAAGCAGGACTGTGGCCTATAGGATATACTAAGTAAGCTGTCACTTCTCTTCAACACTGACAGGGAGTTAGAAGAAATATTTCTACTAGTTTTGGCTGCTACACTCCAAAAACCACCTGTGGACTTTGTGTGGAAGCCCTGAGGAGAGGAACAAAAACAATCAGAGGAACAAAAAATATGAGCTATCAGGAAAGATTGACAGAAGAGGGAATGTACAGCCTAAAGCAGGGAAGTCTGTGGTGCCACACAATAATAACCTCCAGGTGAAAGAGAAAAGGAGACTGAACACGTGCATAAACAATGTTCTAGTGATACACAAACAGGGAAGTGCAACAGATTTCTTGAGGATAATGTTTTTCACTGCAGTGTTTAAAGGATAAGACACCTGCCAAGAATGGCAAATATAATCAATGTGGTCTTTGGGCAGGGACAGAGTAAATGAGAACTTCACACTGCCTTGTAATGTTACAATTCTACAGCTCTGTGATTGAAAGGTGTTATATAAATGTAAGTGGCTTTTGCATTACAACATTGTCACTGCCACTTACCAGTTAGATAAAATTACTGGAGATACAGGCATCACCTGTATGGAATTTGTAAAAAAAGTCCTATGCAGCAGGATGCTGCCTATCACTACAAAGATTTACTGTGGCTAAAGAGTATCCAAAAAGTTGTTGCTTAGAAAGTAGGGCAAAATAGTGTGCTACTTCCAGCTTGGCAAGGACAGATGGAGATGCACTCTATCCATGCAGGCATGAGCAGAATAGAAGTGACCTGAAGCAGAAGGCCTGTTCAGACTGTGAGGTCCTGGTGAAAAAACAGTCCACTTCTTATTTAACTCCTTATCTCCAAAATGTTTCCAAGGCCTCAAGTATTAGTCAGGTAAAGATCAGACAGAATATGCCTTTAAAGGTTGAACAGATGGACACATCTCTTTGTTTGACAGGAAAATGTATGTGTTGCTTGACCTGGCAAACCCTTCGTGGTGCAGTGGAAGCATTGCACAAAATATCTCAGACAGTATCTGAAAAGAATCCCCCACAAATAAATTAATAATTGGGATATGATGGTACAAAGCCAACAACAAAATTAGTTTGATAGTTCAAGCTTCGTAAAGAGACTTTGTTCAGTTTGATGACTCTAAAATTAGCTGTGCTAACCTGTGCTATATGTCTCTGTCTTACTGTGTTACTCATGGGAAATGTTCCTTTATACTTTTCAGTGGATCAAGTTGTATGAGGATACACTCATGACAAAAAAAAAAAAAAACAAAAAAACCCGAACTAGTATTTTCAGAAAGGTATTCTACCCATCAGGGATTTGTTCCTTCCCTCTGTCTCTGATGATAATTTTAACAGGCAAATAGGTACCCTTCTTGCACAGATAATACTGCAAAGTTAGTTCTTACTGACTCAGGCCTAGCAATATGCCTCCCATCTTACCTGTCAAATCATATAATGGAGTTAGTTTCAATCTAATCCTGTTTTTTTATTAAAAAAGAGAGATTTCTGTCCTATGTTTAACACTTGCAGTGATATCTGCTGATAGCATCAATGTCAGTACCATAATTGCTTAGCATCAGGTGTTGGCACAAACAAGATATCCTGTATCCATCAAAAAAGACTTTGTCCTCTCTGACAAAGAGATCCTTGGGTTAGTACTGGCCAATCTGGTATAACACAGCTCTGATTTCTGCTGGAAATATTAGCTCTAGCCCTAAAAGCTGCATAATTACATTAGTGTTGTTCCATGCCTGAGGGAAGCAGCTCTGCTTCTCTGCTGTGTGACCAGCCGGGGCTCAGCGCCGCTCCAAATGCTGCACCCAACATGCCCCAGCAATGACAGCCTCACCCACAAGAGCTTTTCCTCTGGTAAAAATAGTGCCACATTTTGATTCACAAAAAAAGCAGACCAAGTTTCTGAAAGTCAGATTCTTCAGGTTTCCAAATCTCCCTGTAAATTCAGCAGAAACTTTAGTATTGTTGAAAATCAGATGCAGTGCCCGTATCATGAGGGCATCTGGAATGCAAGTCACACAAGCCTTGCTTACTCACAGCCCTGTCTCCGGATATTTTTATAAAATCTACATTCTCAGCAATAAAATATGTGTTGCTATGGGGCATCTGTTTATGTTTTTATGTGAACTGATAATTACCCTGGAGTTCCTTCTGTCTACAAAAATGGTAGAGTTTTACAGTGAGCCTATAAACAATTATCAGTTAAATGTAAGGATAGTCCTGAATTTATACAAGAAAAAACAAATCCATGGGACAAATCAGTGCAAGCATCTATCCAGGTAATTGCAGGTATGAATCATATGTTTTACAAATGTGACAAAATTTTTGTGGCAGTTTTATCCCTTAACTGCCTTTGTGTGGCAGTTTTATCCCTTTATAACCTGCTAAGTTCAGCTGTCCTCTGAGCTCAGGACCCACTGCATTCACCTGCCAGCTCCCAGATCTCACAGTGAAGTATCCTAGGCTGGGTAGATCTCACTCTGTGTCTCTCTGAGCAACAAGTGCTAGGCAAGTGATAGAAACACAACATCATTCAAAACACTTAGGAAGATTTGATATGTTTTTATATGTTTTATATGTCTATATGTACAGACAATTCTATTATCACATTCACAAGCCTCAAACACTACCGAAATACAGTATTTACTATGAATAAGACAGGAAAAGGAAAGTAAAATAAACTATGGTTGCACCCAACTCACACAGCGCAAACATTAACCCCGTGAGAAAAAATCTGCAAGAACAGAGAGTCCCTTACAGTCCAGCTTCTTAATTTATGTTTGGTGTTTTGGCCACAAAGACACCCCAGCACTACCATAACCACTGGTACAGATGCTATTGGTTAACTGTCCCCTCACATTCTTTTGGTAAGTCCAGTCATGCTCTTTAGTATGAATTTTTTCTGCCTCCATTATCTCACCCCTCAAATGCAGTTACAGAAAAGGTTTCTAAAAATGCTACCAACAGTCTCACAGTTTCATGGGGAATTTTTGATCCTGGATTTTTTCTCCTGTGTCTCAGGACTCTGAGCAAAGATAAAGCCTTTTCTTTAGAGCTGCCTCCCACATCTGCATCAGGATCCTCCCCTTAAAAAAATCAGGATTTACAACCTACTTATTCTGATTAGAGGTTTCAGTCTGTGTCCAGTTCATTTTTACTTTAAAAAAGACAGGGTTCATATTTTCTTACAGCTTCCCAACTTTGTTCTGTTCTGTGTCCGATGTAATTGATGACAGATTAATGCCCATCTGTCACAGTTCCACACTGTTCATTTTTAGTGTAAATATTCTGTGCTTACTCTTCTGGGTGTTACAACCTGAAAAGAACCAAATCCAAATCTGTAATAATAACATTACCAGAATTAGATATCAATGACAAGTCAAGGAAGCATTGCATATGCACATACATATGTGCTTTGTAACACCATGGTCAGACAGAGAAAACTACCAGTGGCTCTAGGATAAGGGTGTATGCAACAGAAAGAACCACAAAACTGAGGAGCAAGGACCTTGGAATTACAAGAAGAAAAGGGGGTCAGAGACCCAGCAGACAGACACCAGGATGGTGATTAAAACAGATGTGTGGATGCCCTTAAGGATAGAACAGGTAGAGTATCCTTAAGATTTATCAATACAGCAGCAACAAAACCAATTTTTTGTGTTTATGCTGTACTTCAGAATCAGGTGTGCAGAATCAGGTGTGTGATTATGGCTCAGACCCTCTCCTCAACTCCTGTCTTGATGCTGTGGTAGTGTTTAGTGCTAGGGTATTACTGCCTTACTACCATAAACATAACTGTGTTTATGCCTGATTATGCCTGAATATGCATGACTGATCTGATCAACTCCTCTTGGGGCCTGACTTAACCCTGCTTGCAGCAATTGATGGAGGATGCAGACAATCTAGGAAATCAAGCAATACTGAAAATATGACATGAGGAAGGAAACATCCTCTATCTTGTTTGTGTGACCTAGCTGCAATTCAGTCCCACAGCCCAAGTACCCTACTGAAACATTTGCCTTTTCACCTTCACCATTAGCTACTAACACATCCTGTGAAATCAGGAATCAGGAATCAGGAATCAGTACCAGTTTCTGCAGCAGACCCATAGCAGCAAAAATTGAGCTGTGGATTGAAATGATTACAAGCTTTGTTGTGTCATCGGTAGGAATCAGGAAAATTATTTCTCAGCTAGAATCATGGATCTCACAATGGGGTCCCAACATGCAAACAGAGGATGTTTTCCATGGGTCATTAAAAAATGTACTGTGAGTTCTTAAAGTCTAAGTGTTAATATGAAATGAGAAATTCAGTTACAATGTGTTCAAAAGATGAGACATTTGGACATCACAGTGTACAGAAGAAGGAACCAGAGGTAGAAGACACTGAAAATAAAACCACAGACAGCAAGGCAAAAAAAAAGGATAAAAGAGGCCCAACAATGTAGAACAAAGGAGAATATTAAACAAAAGAAGTTTAAAAAATAATTAGAATTAAAGACCAGAAGGTGAACTATGGGAATTGAAACAGGAGGTAGAAAAAAATGAATGCAGACAATGTAGCAGAAAAGGACTCTGAGCAGCAGTAATGCTGAGGTTTCTAGAAAAAGGAACATACCATAATAAAAATGAATAACCAATCCTTGTAAGAGGAAGCAAAAGCTAAACCAAAATTAAGTGATGCCCAGGCTACTTTCAAGTTCTGCTGGAAGATAAAAAGCAGAATCAGAGGAGAAATGTGATCACATGCTGTGTTACCAGGAAATATGAAAGTCTGAAAACATTTTTTAAAATACCAACTTAAAAGCATAAGCATAAAAAATAGATGTTGTAACAGCTGTAAAAGTGAGGAATAACAACTTGAATAGAGATATCTAGTATGACCCAAATTTCATAGAACTTGGTGTGAATCCACAAGAATATCACACACTTTCTTCATTAACAAGAGTATGCAAATTAGTGACATTAAAACATTAAAAAAAAAAAAAGAAATAGCAATACTAGTGATCACCAAATTAATTTTCAAATCAAGGACAAATTAACAAGTCACTATTGCAGCAGAATTGGATAGTGATCATGTTAGAACAAACCAAAAAACAACATAGGATTCTTAAATAGGAAAACTGTGCAAGTTGAGTAGTAGCACTGGAGAAATATCCAGGGCTAAACAGTGAAGATCAATCTTTAATTGATCAACCAGCCCCAACAAATTTAGATGGGCTTTACTTACTCAAAATTTCAAAGTAACCCAAAAGATAAAAGTGTATTAAGGGAAGGAACTTGACAGGTTTGACAGTTCATTTAAGGTGCTGGTAAATTGTTGGTGCATTTTTTTCACCCTGCATAATAAAGATCAAATTAAAATCACCAATGGATACACACAAGAAAATAAATTATTGGGTACCAGAGCCAGGGTTTAGTTACTGAGAACATTGTTGCATATTTATAAAGAGGGTTTCTCACTAGCCATACATGAAGCACTGAAGCAGGTTGAAGAGACAACTAAGCTCAGTAAATCCAGTAACCATGAAATTGGAGAATTTTGTAGATATTATGTGGAGAGCTGAAGAAATTTTACAAGAACAATGAGAGAGTTAAAATCCTACCAAATTAATAAGCGTGGGGAAGGGGTGCAAAATTATTCAGGTGGTGGCCTTCTCTAATCAAAGTCTAAAGGAGGTCTATGAGATTTCACAGGTGAATAGAATCGTGGATAAGACTGTAATGGATGCAGCTGTGTATCCAACAAACAGGGTGAAAGTATTAGCCTGGTCCTAAAAGATACTGCAGGCAAAAGCATGCAATGGCAAAAAGAAACAGGAAAGGAATAAAGAGAAGAATTAAGTGTTTTATTGTTATTCTCAGACATATGTGAAATCCATGGAGAGAAGTCTACATATTTGAAGCCACCATGGAAAACTGAAAGGTTTTTCAAATTCAAATATTTGCATTTTGCATAAATCAACTTAAATATTCCTTTGAACACAAATTTTTGAGTTATCAGCTGGAACATATTTTGGGTTAAATCCATGCAGACAATGGATTAAAAAATAGATGAGTGTGATGGAAAGACAGATGCCTAAGTACTTTATTGAGATTTGTGTGGGTAGTGAGTGGGGCATTAAATAGTATAAATTTCACATGCTTACCTAATGTATTTGCATTCATCTTTGATGGGCAATTACATTATGAAAGCACCTATATGAGAAAATGGAAGTTTACACATTCTATGACAATACAAAGTGGGCCCATGCTCTTTCCAACATCTACTTTTCATTAGTTTCAAGTATTATATACACTGCATAAGAATCTATCTGGATTGTTACCTGGCCTGTGTGATGATCTGGTATGCAAACATGGTTACAAAAGAAAATTTTCCAAAATTTAAAAAGAGTAAAAATGAAAAAAAGTTGTCTTCAGTATATTCTATTTCAGAAGGCTGCACACCATTACATGAAGCTTTACAACATTACATTTGTGATCAAAGACAGTTTCTGTAGTGAAATATTGGGAATATTTTAAAATAAATATATTTAAGTTAAAGGCCTTTGTCTTAAGAAATACTAAGCAATGGTGGAGGTCATAAATTCTTTAACTGTGGAGATATACTGATAATGAAAATACTAGAAATCTGTACGTGCAAGCATGTACTAATTTAGTAGAAAGATTCTTTCATTTTCAAGGAACTAATCAAGTAGCTTTAGAAATGTCCAACAATTGTTCTCTTGCTTCAGGAGAATAACAGCAAATATCCATCACCATGAAGAATCACTCAATGCAAAAGTTATCTTTTTCAGTCTGGAAAAAGCATTCACTTGATGTACTTTGTCATGTGGTATCTTGGCAGTTAGATCACACTTTGTAATTGAAAACCGAACTTTATCCAAAGATGTTTGGTGCTCTGTGCTCTCAGTCAGATGGCTTCAAGTGCATAATAAAACTTTCACACTTGCCATTGCTGTAATTGAAAATAACACACTGGCTTTAAGCTCATTTGAAACTACTCCAACTGAGCCAAAGGATGGAAGAAATTATGAAAAAAAACCTTATACCGACATCTATAATGAACTATTTAGTAATAGAATTCTAGAAAAGTTAAGGGAACCTTCAATAAATCCAGGAAAATGTTAAAACATGGGCATTAGAATTTGAAACAATAGCAATATTTTTATAAGATTATATATTTTGCAGTTCCACAGCATCTAAACTACTACATGTCTTATTTTGTCCACTTACTGTATTTTTAGCAAAATAGGTTGAGAATCTTCTAGGTACCATTATAATATTAAAACATTTATTGAAAACTTTTGCATATTACAGCAACATTATTTGCAAACAATTATCAAGAGGTCAGTATCTGGTGAGGCAAGACCCAAGCATTCACAATGCTGTCCAAGCAGCAGGCACACAGCAATAACCAGCCAATGCAGCTTTGAGAGCGCAGGGTTTATGCAACTCAATCAAAAGACCACAGTTACCTGAATATATCTCTGTAATGAAAGGTGTTATATATGTCTGTGTGAAACGTGAACAGGACCAGTGTAGGAGAAAGCAATCCTGACAGTGCAGCAGGGACCTACAGAAAGCCAGGTACCAGAGACCCTTGAGTGCAGGAAGAGGAGGGGACCAGAGACCAGACAGACATTACAGCTACCCCCTGGTACAGATGTGTAACAGGGTAATCAAGCTGCACCTAAAACAGGTACCACACATGGGCTGGTTTGAAGGTGTGGTTATTAAAAAACTGCCATGAGAGAACTGGTTGCCCTCACTCTGTATTTCAGAGCCATGTTTGCCCACTACATGGTAAATACTGTCTGAATCAAAACCTGTGTTTGGGTGTTTGGGTTAACATTTTATTAATTGAATTGGGCTGGTTTGGCTGGATGCTTTTGAGGAGTAAATTAAATTTAGATGCATGGGAGATGACTGGCTGGAAAAATAGATTAAAACTCTGGTTTTTTTGTCCTTCTTCTTTGAAGTCTGCAGTTTTTGTGTCTGTGTAGGTCAAGAATTTCGGTCCTAAGTAAGAATGTTAACCTCAGAAGACTGGTCGCCTCAAGACAAGGACAGATTTGACGGGTTCAGAGGGCGATACCAATGAAAACACAGTGATGGTGAGGCCATCAGCCTTGGTGCTATTCATTTAAGAGTCATTTGTCATCAGTGTTAGCAACTCTGTGTTGATGCTTGAGCATTTAATGTGATTGCAAAGACGTTTTAAAACAACTTCCAAAACAAAATGAAGTTGAAGCTTGTGGGGCTCTTCAGCAGAGAAAAATCCCTACTGAGCTGTATAGAAGTCTGTTATAAATGAACATAGAGTGTCTGAGCTGGGACCAAATGTCCATTGCTAGCCAACTTTATTTTGTGGCTGAATTGATCTTCCTTCTTTCAAAGCTCAGCATTCATAAATTGTTCTGGGAAACCTCAAAGTTATTTGAAAAGGTCTATAGCAAGATAAATTTCTCTATGCAAAATGGCTGTTTAACAAGATTGTCTCCTTGAACTTTTCACATGATTGTGACAGCCACTTTCATTAACTAATGGAAGTTTTATAGCGGATTTTCCCCACTACTCCCACATCACTGTTTACTATTATTTTATGGAGAATACTTTACCAATTGGGTTTTTGAAACAAAGGAAAAGGCATTTGGTGACATTCCCAGGCTGCTATGTGCCTTGTTAGCAGGGCTGCCCAAGAGACAGCTTGCAGGAGAACCCCAGCCCACATGGGCTGCAAAGTTGTGCTGCTGCAACCAATTGGCCCATGGGGGTTAATTCAGCAGTCATTATGGTCACTGCTGAAATCTCCTTTTGTTAACCCTGCTTAGATTAAAATTAGGAAGAACAGAAGCTTCATGGGGAATTGTTCCTCATTAGTCATGGTGCAGACAGCAGAAGGGTGGTGAAGGTGTGTAGTTAGATTTTACAATAATAGTGATCATTTAAGAGAAAAAGGAAGAGAGAAGTTTAAGGAGTAAGTGGTTTGGAAGGCATCTGAGGCTTCATGAACCCAATATCCATCATACTGTACCTGGATGAGTTTTGGAACTGATCAGGAACTGACTCTTTTCTCAGATCACCAGCAGAGAAGGTGTTCACTTGGTATTTCAGGAAATGTCCCTTGCATTCCATCTGGAGAGTCCCTGGGTAATTTTATGTGAAATGGCTGCATTCCCTCAGGGCAACAAGTAAAGATGTTTTCAGTTGCCTGGTGAGAAAGAAGAGATTAGAAAAGAAGAAAAAATATTTGGAGAAAGAAGACAGCTAGTCTACAGCTAAATGTAGACTAGCATTTAGGGAAGAAGAAAAGTGTGAACAAGAGAAGTGAAGGAATGATTTATTTATCTTTTATTTTTCCAAGTTATATGTCTTTGTGAAGTCTCTGTTGCAAAAGACAAACCTCAAGTTTGCCTTATTTGCCATTTTTCATTTTGTGAAGGAAAGACAGTAATATTTCTCCTAGCAACTAAAGATTTTTTTCTCCAACAAGTTACAAATGTAGGAAAAAAATAAATAATAAATGTTCTGACTCTGAACTTCAGTGGAAAATCTCATTTTTACAGTAGAACTTCATCTTTCAGAGCAGTAAAAAAGAGAAATATGTTTACAAATGTATTTTTGTTTTTTACCAAAAAAAGTAGTTGTCATTTTCAGTGAAGTTTTGAAACTTCACAGAACCTTGAATATTTTTTTATCAGTCCAAAAGAATATTTTGTACATTCTTAAATGCAACAAAATGAACACTACTCAACTTTGGAAGATGGGTCACATCCTTCTGAACCAGGGTCATCCAAGGCCAATGCACTATCCTCAGCACTAACAGAGAAGAAGACTGAGATTAATCATTTCTATATACGGGATAAAGGCATAAGAATGCATTTTTCTTCCAGATGCACTCATTACATTGCACAAAAATTGGTGGGAAAAAATTAGCCGTGAGACAGGCAGAATGTCACATCTCTAATTGAGATGGCTTGTGCTTACTCCAAGATTAAATTTGATATAGTGGTTGTACATTGTTGACTAAGAATTGTTTTGATTCTGGCTGTGTGGTTTCATAGCAGCAACATTCACTTTAATGCATACTGGCATCACTGTAACTAAATTAAATTCATAAAATAAAGTTAATTTTAAAAAACTTTTAATTTACTTTTGTTTCTATATAAATGCTAAAATTGAAAAATTTAAGCACACATAGTCACAGCAGGAGCCAAGGAACTAAATATGCAGTCCTACCTCCAGACCCCTTAAATTGGCTACTCTTGAGGCACATCATTTACATCAAAAGGACAGAATTCCAGCAGAGTATATCCTCATTCATTACTGTGGCAAGTGAGGAGATGCACGATCAGATTACCATTACGCTATGTAGATGCAAAGGATCAGAATAGGACCTCAAAGACATGTACTCTGGGCTTCTCAAGTAAAAGATTTCCTAAATGTTATGCAAAATATTATGTGTCATTTAATCTTCTAAGAGATTTAAAGAAAATGTCTTCTACTTTATACATTTAAGGGAAAAAGTCTTTTTCTTCATCACGTTGGACAGAACTTTTGTCCTTAAACTGTCAAGATGATAAAGGTATCAGCATACATTTAAATTCCTTACCTTGAAAGATGGTAAATGATGTATGCAAAAGAAAACCAGATTGCACGAGAAATTTCTTTACACAGGGATTGTACCATGGAATAAAGTCAATGTAAAAAAAAGTAGGTGTGGGTTTTTTAAGCTAAAGTTAAGCATGATGAGGTCAAGTTCCAAAGAAATCCAGACAAGTAGAGGCTTTTTTTTAATAAGAAAAAGGCATCCTTTTTTTCAGATAGAAGACTTTTTTTGCTTTGCTTTTGCTTATATTGACAGACTGTGAAGGTCAAGAAGAGATTGATCCACAGAGGCCAGAAAAAGTTAGAAGTAATTTAATTAGAGTTGTCCAAATCTGAAATATCTTCTAATCCGATTATATACTTATTTCTTGAGGGACAGTGTGTGGGCATCTATATTTGCTATAAAAGATCATTTTTTATAATCTAAAAAGATTAAGTTATCAACTCTTTTTCAAGAAGCAGAATGAGTCAAGAAAATAAAAACCTGAAGAATTTTTCCATAGTTAAAAAATAGAGTATGCTTATATTAGTTTATATTTCAAATTAACTGTATGTATGTGTGCATGTCTTTTGTACATTATAT